TGGGGAAATTGGAAAAAGCCCTCCAATACTTTTGCAATATGACCCTGATGTAAAAATGCAGCAAATCCTAAGTAAAGGATAATGAGCCGTATAACAAAAATTATGCCCCCTCCCATGAACACTTGATTTATCAGAATTAGCACACAGTTGCAATCATAACCTAAAATGTGTTAAATATAAGAGAAGTTCATTTGCATAATTTCTGGGTGCTTTTTTTTCAAGATAAATTTCAACCAAGTCTTCTTCTTCCGCTGTGGAATCTAGGTCTCCATCTTAAATAAATTTAGTCTCAGAGGGCCCTTTCTGGTACCAATTATCTTGGGAAAAGGAGGAACTCCTTTAAAAAAAAAAAAAAAGTTTTATTTATTTTTGGTGGCAACGTACTCAACCAAACATACATCCAATCATAATTTCTCCATGAACAGTTCATCACCGTTGCTTACATACTTTACACCGTGTCGCTATTCTATCTCTACTCCGCCGCCGAAAGTTCTCATATGTGCTTTCGATTAACTGATGCCAGTTTATCTCATATGGATAATTTTTGTATGCTAGAGGCAAACGTTCTTTTTTTAATTGGGCTAAATTGTTGTTTAGTTTAACGATGGCTTCACAGGATAGTTTCAGTTCACAGTTTAAAATATTCTTCCTGGGTTCTCGATAACAACAAAATAAAATAAATTATATAAGAAAAATTAGAAGTCACTTCCAGAAGACTCCTCTAGTCTGAAATAAAAGTTGACTTTGAAGAAACCATAGGAAAAAAAAAAAGGTTACTTCCGGGCATTAGATTTGGGGGTTCCCCCAGTCTCAATGGAGCCAGTAAGTCTGGTTTCCATACGTGTTTGAAGTTCTTGTCCATGCTCTTCCTTTTTGATTAGGATCCATCTTTTGGGTCTTTGGAGGAGCCATGGTGGTGCAATGGTTAAGGACTTGGCTGCTAACTGAAAGGTTGGCCATTCAAACTCACCAACTGCTCCGTGGGACAAAAAACCTGGTGCTCTGCTCCTATAAAGAGTCCAGAAAAAAAAAAAGAAAGAAAACAGATCTGTTGCTGTCGAGTGGACTTATAGCAACCCTATAGGACAGAGTAGAGCTGTCCCATACGGTTTCCAAGGAGCAGCTGGTGGATTCGAACTGCAGACCTTTTAGTTAGCGGCCGTAGCTCTTACCCACTGTGCCACCCCTGAAGATTACAGCCTAGGAAACCCGATGGGGCAGTTCTACTCTGTGGTATAGGGTCACCATGGGTTGGAATCGACTCGATGGCACACAACAACCACCACCTCGGGTCCTTGATCACTAATGATACACAGGCACAATCTATTTTTTCTGGTCTCATGGTAACGAAGGTAGTAGTTTATGGAGGCAATTAAACCTACAGTCCATTTCCTTCTCTGATTCCTGGGTCTGCTTCTTCCTCTGCTGTTCCAGGCAAATAGAGACCAATTGTATCTTGGGTGGTCACTTGCAAGTGTCTAAGACCCCAGGGGGTACTGAACTAGGAAGTAGAACAGAAACTCTATAAACAACTTTAGGCCAATTGACTGGATAGACCAACAAAGCCATGACCCTAAACCTTCGAACCAAGAAGACTAATCCCATGAAGTTTTTAGTAAAATTATGTAAGACACGTTATTTGCCATTTCACTTTTTTTTTTTTTTTGGTGTATAGCTTAGTGATAACAGTTACGTCAGTCAAGATGTGTAACCATTATCCTTGTTGTTGTTAGGTGTCATCAAGTCGGTTCCGATTCATAGCGACCCTACGTACAACAGAAGGAAATTGCCCAGTCCTGTACCATCCTCACAATCATTGCTATGTTTGAACCCATTGTTGCAGCCACTGTGTTAATCCATCTCATTGAGGGTCTTCCTCTTTTTTGCTAGCCCTCTACCAAGCATGATGTCCTTCTCCAGGGACTGTCCCTCCTGACAACATGTCCAAAGTATGCAAGGCAGGAAAAAAAAAAAAATACATGAGATGAAGTCTCGCCATCTTTGCTTCTAAGGAGCATTCTGGCTGTACTTGTTCCAAGACCATTACCCTTAGTCTTCCCATCACGGTAGACAAAAATTCACTACTTCCCTGAGAGTGATTTCCCTTCTCCCTCTGTAAAAATGGTGTGAGGGCGGAGTCTGACTTGTCTCTCTCTTTACAAGGAGGAAGGAGAACCAAGATCAACAGCCCAAGGCTGATTCCTATGAGGCAGATGTCGGAAAAGCCTCCTCCCTTGGCCATCTTTACCAATTCTGACACCAACTGTCCCTCCCACGACACTCTCTACTTCTCTTCTGAGTTTGATAATTCATTGCCATGGCCACACAGAACTCACAGACTGTACTCACGATTATGAGGTTTATTAGGGAAGTAACAGGTTACATTTCAGGCTCAGGACTGAGGATACAGTTCTTCCATCAGGACAGCCTCCTTTCAGCTGTGATTGCAGGCACACCTCTCTCTGGCCCCAGGCCTTTGCCCTGCTGGGCAAGTGTTACAAAGCTCTTTTAGCTCCTGCCAAAAAAATCCCCGGAGCCCCGGTAGTGCAGTGGTTAAGGGCTTGGCTGCTAACCAAAAGGTGGGCAGTTCGAATCATTGGCTGATCCTTGGAAGCCCTATGGGGCAGTTCTACTCTGTCCTATAGGGTCGCTATGAGTCGGAATCCACTAAAGAATTTTTTTTTTTTTTTTTTTGGTTTAGTAAGTCGCCAGAGGCACCCCAGGCACTCAGCTTTCTTGCTCTGTGAGCCTGGAAGCCCACTGCGAGGTCTCTTGCCAGTCTCTCCTGCCACCACTTCTCCCTGTCTGCAGGGTTACAGCTCGCTGGCTCTCTGTCTCCTGGTTCCAGGATTTTCTCAGCGCAGGGATCCCAGGTCCAAAGGACATGCTCTCCACTCCTGGCGTTCTTCCTTGGTGGTGGTGGGATCCTCTCCTTCCTGCCTCTGGAATGGCTCATTTCAAGCCCAGCAGGATGGCAAAACTGACCAATCCCCTGGGTGGGTCACAGTTACCCTATTTACACAGTCCCACCCAATCGCTGGGGTGGGAGTTATAAAATCATGGCGAGAAAGGCCACACAAAAGCAATTCCATTGCACTGCACCCTCCCCCCTCCTGCCCCTTGTACCTATTAATAACCGTTGGGCTCTACATAATTACCTATTCTTGTCATTTCATATAAGTGAGAACATACTGTATTTGTCCTTTTGTGATTCATTTCGCTCTGCATAATCTCTTTGAAGTTCATCCATGTTGTAACATGGGGAAAAGGAAGAACTCTTGTACTCATCTCTATGTTTCCCAAACGTGCAATATTATAAGAATCTTCCAGGCAATTGGAAAAAATACAGATCTCTGGGTTTTCCTGACAGTTTGTTATCCATCTGTCAGTTTTCTGTTCCCTGAAGCCCTGCCCCACTAATAGAGCAAGCAAAAGGTTTCTGAAACTCTATCTATGCAGACTTTAAAATTTTACAACCTGCTCCTCCTTTTTCTACTGTTTTATTTTCTTAATAATTTTAAACAGCTCTGAATAAATCAGAATTTCCATTTTTGCTTCTTTAAAACTGATCATGAGTGATTTTTCTCAAATTTCTTTTTTCTATATTCTGTCAGCCTTCATTCTCATGAGCCCATTTTGCTCTATATCCATTTGGACGTTAAACTGCTTTGCAAATATTATCATGTTCTTTTTGTACTACCTGGCAGCTCCTCGAAGACAAACACCATGTCCTCCATTTCTTTTTCACTTCCCCACTGAGCCTAGAAGATTAACTGACTAGTGTTCAGTATGCTTCATGTGGTGAGTGCTTAATAGATATTTAAATTCAGTATTAAAATGTTGAATAAATTTGACAGTAGTGCTGTTCTGCATCACTTAGAGTGCCAACACTTTCTAGGTGGCTTCTCTGCCTAGCAACCATTTCCCAACATACCTACACATCCCCAGACATTTCAGGAAAGCTGAAACTCCCTTTCGATCCAGCTTTCCTGCCTAAATTAGAGAAATACTGTTTACATTTTTCTTTCCCTTGAAGAGCACCTTACTGCTACTCAAAGGTCCTGAAGTATAAGCTGAATTTACTTTTTCCCTTGGGGGTGGGGGCCTTTGGGAGGGGGATGGTAGAGACGGAGGTTTCATTTTGGAATCTCTTCCTTTTCTCCCCAAATCAGCTTTTCAGAAGCTACAATGGCCCTATGATCATTTTCATATCTCTAAGGATGTTTAAGGGCAATGGGTTAACAGTTAAGGATGTTTTCACCTGCAGAGCGCTAAAGGCTCTAAGAGTGCTAAGAGCGTTAAGAGGTTTTAGTATTTCAACTAAGCTTTATTCAATACACCTTTTTTTTTTTTCTGACCTACAACAATCGGTCAGACAATGCTTCTCTTATAACACCATTCTCCTGTTAAACGTTATTCCGCGCCTTTGATAAATAAACGTATCCTTATATTGTATGTATCTAATTAACGTACATGAAGTCTTACATTTCTCTTCCTTGGATAGGGACTTACGTTTTGCAAAGCACTTTGGCATCTATTCATTATCTTATTTAATTCTCACAACAAACTTGCTAGGTGGACAAAATAGGGATCATTATCTCCAGGATATATAAAAGGAAACTCAGAGATGGTAAGTGACTTGCGCAAGGTCACACAGCTTGGCTGGACCCACACTGAAAGCCAGGACTTCTGACTCCAGTCCCGTTTCCCAGTCTTCGCCAGTATCACACAGCTCAACTTCACATAATAAACTCTATGTCAGTAAGGATAAAGCTGCTAGGAAGAAACAGCAAGAGGCTATAGATGGGTAAGGGTGGAGAAGGAAAAGAATATTGCGCGTGCGCAGATCACTACCGGGGGCCACAACGGTGAGCAAGGTTCGGGAAAAGCGTCAGAGTGCATGCCTTCCTACACGCCATCCATGGCCTCTAGCTACCGCGCAGGCGCACTTCCTCAGGCTGAAGGTCAAACTAAACCGGGCGGTACTTAGAGCTGCGCAGGCGCAATTGCGCGCCCGGTCGCCAAGATGTCGTTTCCGAAGTATAACCCGTCGCGCCTGGCCACACTACCCGCTACCCTCGACCAAGCCGAATACGACGTACCTCCAGAGACCCGGCGGGCTCAAGCCGAGCGGCTGGCTATAAGATCCCGGCTTAAACGGGAGTATCTGCTTCAGTACAACGACCCCAATCGCCGAGGGATCATCGTGAGTAGGGGGCCCACTGGGCGGGGATCAAGGCGCCAGAGTCCGGGCGGGCTCGTGGGTGGGCAGCCTGGATGGTCCTGACCAGCCGAGGGCCTCAGGAAGGGGGTCAGCCTCTTCCAGGCCCAGACGGTAGACCAACTCACCAGCACTTTGACCTTGGGTAGGGAGCTTGCTGGTCAGGAGTGTGGCTTCTGGAGTCAGTCCTGGCTGGGTTTGAGTCCTGGCTGGATCACTCCCCTCCTGGGTGATCTTGACAAAGTTATTTAGCTCCATTAAGCCTCAGTTTCCCTGTATGAAAAACGGGGATAAGATAGTATTTCTTATGAGGTTGTTATGAGGATTAAATAAGATAAAGCACGTGATGGGCCTAGCACAGTGCCTGCTTTGTAATGAGTTCCGAAAATTGTTGTATGTATATAACTTTAAAAATTGTTTTCCACTTTCAGTTCCCAGCTCATAGCGAAAGTACCTCCTACTGATGGGAATATGGTGATTCTTTAACAAATATCATTTAAAGATCCTGCAGCTTGTTGAAGCTTTGGGTTTTGGAGTTCTGACCCCAGGGCACTACATACTGGCAAACTGTTTGATCCTAGGCAACTTACCTAATCTCTCTGAAACCTCATCTTTAGGTGGGAATGGAAGTATATTATTCATAGAATTGTTGTGAGCTTAAATGGGATAGTCTGTGTAACGGGTATGGCACATCATAGGTATTTAGTAAGCTGATAGCTATTATCATTTAACAAATGTGCTTTTAGATAATTTTATGTACCAAAAATCGACCCTGTAGGACAAGGAGAACTGCCCCATAGGGTTTCCAAGGAGCGGCTGATGGATTCGAACTGCCGACCTTTTGGTTAGCAGCCGTAGCTCTTAACCACTGTGCCACCAGGGCTCCAATTTTATGTACAGAGCTGTTTAAATAGTTGTCAAATATGTTGTTTAAAAAAAAGACTTCCCAACAGATGCATAGGATTTTTTGGAGGTTTTGAGGTTAGAAGGAAGATTACAGTGTGCCAGGCACTATGCTAAACCCTTCCCGAGTATTATTTTATTCAAGTGTCACAGCTATTCAGAGAGTTAAGCTCTATTACCATTCCCGTTTTACAGATGAGAAGACTGTATGGAAAGGACAGGTAGCTCATGCAGAGATACCTGGTTAGCGAGTGAAAGAGCAAAGTTTGAATCCTCTTCTATGGAAACTCTGGTGGCGTAGTGGTTAAGTGCTGCGGCTGCAAACCAAAAGGTCAGCAGTTCGAATCCACAGATGCTCCTTGGAAACTCTATGGGGCAGTTCTCCTCTGTCCTCTGGGGTCGTTATGAGTCAGAATCGGCTCAAACGCAATGGGTTTGTTTTTTTTTTCCTGTGTACCCCCAAAGCTTTTACTTTAACCAGTTGTCTCTACTGTCCTCAGCCAGAACCTTGTTTACTTGAAAAGAAGCTGTAAGAGAGATGTGAACTATATACATACTCATATGATTGGGTTTGATAATAGTGGAAAAGAATAAGGGCTTGGAGTCAGACAGCCCTGAGGTTCAAACGTCAGATCTTTTATTTTCCAGCTCTGTGACCAAGGGCAATTTCTCATATGTAAAATAGAGGTAGTAATACCTGCTTCATTTTTTGTTCTGATAATGAAGTTAGAGCATGGCACTTCATCATTTATTCACCAGTAAATGTGAATTCCATTGCCCGATGTTGAAGAATAATTGATTCAATCAGTCAATAAATAATTGCTCAGGACCTCTTACGAGCCAGGTCCTATTTTAGATGCTGAGGTGATGATGGAGAACCAAACAGGCAAAAATCCCTGTCCTCATAGAGTTTTCTTTCCAGTGGGGGAGACAAGTAATGAACAAGTTGGAAAACTAAATTATTTAGCGTATTAGATAGTGTTAAGTGACAAGAAGAAAAATAGAGCAGGGAAGAGGATTAGGAGGTGTGTGTGTGGGGGGGGGGGAGTGGCAACAGCTGCAGTTTTAGATAGGGTGACTAGGGAAGGCTTCTCTTGGAGGTGATATTTGAGTAAAGACCTGAAAGACTCGAGGTGAGGGAGCTAGCCACACAGCGGGAGAGTAAGCTGAGGGTCCTTATTCAGGAATGTTCCTGGTTAATTAAAAAATACTGACGAGGCCATTGTGGCTAAAGCAGAGGGAAGTAAGGGCAGAAGAGAGGCGATCAGAGAGATACCTGGGGCTAGACCTCACTGTGCCGTGTAGGTCATTGTAAGGACTTACTACTGAGTAGGGGATCATGGCTGATAACCATTGCCATTGAGTCGATTTTGACTCATAGCAACCTCGTGTGTCAGAGAAGAACTGTGTGCATAGGGTTTTCTTTCTTTTTTTATTGTTGTGCTTTAAGTGAAAGTTTACAATTTAAGTTAGACTCTCATACAAAAATTTATATATACATTGTTATGAGACCTTAATCGCTCTCCTTATACTGTGACAGCACACTCCTCCTTTCCATCCCGGATTTCCCATGTCCATTGAACCAGCCCCTGACCCTCTCTGCCTTCTCATCTCGCCTCTGGACAGGAGCTGCCCATTTGGTCTCATGTATCTACTTGAGCTAAGAAGCACACTCTTCATGAATATCATTTTATGTCCCATAGTCCAGTTTAATCTGAACAGTTGGCCTCGGGAATGGTTTTAGTTTTGGGCTAACAGAGAGTCTGGGGGCCATGTCTTCTGGGGTCCCTCCAGTCTCCATCAAACCATTAAGTCTGGTCTTTTTACTAGAATTTGGGTTCTGCACCTCACTTTTCTCCTGCTCCTTCAGGGACTCTCTGTTGTGTTCCCTGTCAGAGCAGTCATTGGTGGTAGCTGGGCACCATCTAGTTCTTCTGGTCTCAGGCTGATGAAGTCTCTGGTTTATGTGGCCCTTTCTGTCTCTTGGGCTGATACTTTCCTTGTGTCTTCGGTGTTCTTCATTCTCCTTTGCTCCCAGTGGGTTGGGACCAATTGATGCGTCTTAGATGGTTGCTCACTAGCTTTTAAGACCCCAGACGCCACTCACCAAAATGAGATGCAGAACATTTTCTTAATAAACTTTGTTAGTGCATAGGGTTTTCAGTGGCTGGTTTTTCAGAAGTAGTTCTCCAGGCCTTTCTTTTGAGGCACCTCTAGGTGTACTTCAACCGCCAACCTTAGGTTTGCAGCTGAGCACATAAACCATTTGCACCACTCAGGGAGTCCTGTCTTCTGGATTTAAACAAGATCTCTCCCTGCTTAGTTGAGAATAGACAGTGGGGAAACAAGGAAGGAACAGGGAGACTAGTTAGGAACTTGTACAGTAATCCAGCTAAGAGATGATGGTCACCGCCAGGGGGTAATAGTGGGGGTGGCGAGAAGTAGATTCTGCGTATATATTGAAAGAGAGCCCACAGATTTGCTGGCAGATTGGATATGGCCTTTGGGGGGGGGGGCGGGGTCAGGGATGACCCTAAGGTTTTTGCCCTAAGGAATTATGAAAGTGAAGTAGCCTTTTACTGCGATGGGGAAAGAATGTGAGAGGAGCAGGTATGGGGGGGGAGTAGAATATTAGGAACTTAGTTTGGATGTTTGTTATATTTGACATAATTGTTAGACGAAGTGTAAATGTTAAGCAGGTTATTGGATATTAAGTCTGGAGTTGAGGGGAGAGATCTAGGTCTGGAGATATAATTTTGGGAGTCATCAGCCTATAGATGGAGACTTACTGAAAGCCATCTGACTGAACAAGATCATCAAGGGAGTGAGTGTAGGTAGGAAAAACCAGCCACCGAGATCCTTGGGCTGAGGCTCTCCAGTTTAGGAGATTGGGGAGACAAAGAGCAAAAGAGACTGAGACTCAGGAGGAGATCAGTCAGGTTTGTGCCCTGGAAGCCACGTGAAGAAATGGTTTCAAGAAGGTCTGTTCACCACGTCAAATGCTGCCAGTAGTCCATTGGACGTGGAGTGGTGTCAAAGAAAGAAAACTGTCTCCCGTAGTGTCTCTTGAAACGTCTCAACAAAATTACCAGGCTCAATGAACCACGGTCATGAGGCTACTGGTATTTCTGTGAAATGAAATGTCTGTTTCTGGAAGACAGAACTGGCAGATACTAAAGTGTAGAGAAGTGACTGATAGATTTTTGAAAATTTTGTCAGATAGTCATTCAAATACATTTACAGCAGAAGGGATAGATGTAAAAAGAGTTGCGTTTGTCCTCTCAGGTATGGTGATCAAACATCCCCTTGAACATATCCTCTGTGTGTCTTCACTGTCTTTACTGTTTCTATTTGGCATATAGATATAATAAGCAATACCACAGAACACCCTCCTGCAAATTATTTCTGGCCTGGAAAGACCCGTGTGGGTTATCATTAGAAAAGGTTCTGGAAACAAAATCCAGAACGTGATACAGCATATGAAACCAGTTTGTCTTCTTCGGGAATACTGTGTAGTTCTGATGGTCACACTTCAAAAAAGACAATGAAGTGAAACCAGAAAAGAGTAGATAAAAATGATCAAGGAGAAGAAGTGGCCTCGGACAGTTTAAGAAGATGAGGATTCTTAAATAAAGAGAAAGTTGCAGGGTGATACAGGAGTCTTCAAAATTCAGAAGGATTTGAACAGGATGATCAGAGAATTATTCAACAAATACTAGAAATGAAAGACCTTCCCTGAAGCAACTTGAGAATATTCAGGTATACCTTAACTCTTGTAGAAAGTAAAAGGCATCTCTCTTAAGCTCTTCCACAAAAGTCCTTATGAAATTCTTTCTCGTATGGCACTTGTTAAGATCTTAGAAGTTTTTGTTTTTATTAATTTTAGGAAGATCCTGCCTTGACTCGTTGGACCTATGCGAGATCAGCAAATGTCTACCCCAATTTCAGGCCCACTCCCAAGACCTCACTCTTAGGAGCTTTGTTTGGCATTGGGCCCCTGTTCTTCTGGTTTTATGTTTTCAAAACTGACAGGGTAAGTATTAGTATTTGTGGGATAGGTCCCTCAGTGCCACCACAGCTCTTTCTCTTCGGTGATTACTGCCATTGCCTCTCCCGTCTCAGGCCCCGTACTCTTCTTTCAATTCTCGCTCCTTTTACCTTTATCCCTATTCAGCAAGGGTTAAAAAGTTTCAATTGTATGTTTGATTTTCTTGCTTTATTGTTTCAGTTCATAGGAATTTTTTTTTTTTTTTTTTAAATCATGATAGCCACTGGGTTTTTCAAATTAAATTTAATGGCTTCTGTAGAGTTCAGAATAATAAAATGATCAATTTAAATTCCTAAGACCGGAACTTAGCTCATGACAGAATTTTCCTGGTGTGTTTTAGATGTTGTAAGGAAATTGTATCAAGCAAGGGAGTACAGAAATAACTTTTCAAGAAGTTAATTTCTTTTTTCTCAGTAGGAGATGTGCAGAAATTAAATTGTTCTATTCCGACTCTCCTTAGATTGTCTTTGCAAGTTTTTGTATTTTTTGAATTTATTTGTTTATAAAAAGATAGTATTTATTGGGTCAGGTTATTATGGAAATACATAAATCATTTAGTGTGTTCCCTATTTGCATGGTGGTCACACTTTGTGAATATATGTTAAAACTTGTTAATACCCTAACAACAGAGGAGCAGAAGCTGCCTGTGCTGAGAACCAGATCCTCAGAGGCCTGGGTACGTGACTGCAGAGTTGCCCAGGCTTGCCTTCGGCTCTAGACTGCTCCACTTCCAGACCCCGGCCTGGTGTTGCCATCTAGGCCGGCGCCTGCCCGTCTGGCTCTGCCGTAAACCAGCCAATCCACTGTCCCGCTAGAGCACATGCATTTTAATTATTTATTAAATCATCTGCTTAATAGAATGGTAGCCCACACTTTCCCAGATGTTTGCATTTTGCTTTTACTCTGTTTTTAGTGGGGTAGTGTGTTTCTCATTGCTAAAATGCAGGAAAGATGTTTTTGAATAAGAGAGTTTTCTCATTGTGCCTTTGTTTCTCCAGCCTCCGGCCTCCTCCCTCAGACTCCCTGGGTTTAGAAGGTGGAGGATTGGAATTAAGTTTAGAATTTTTCATTTCTGTTTTTCAGAGTTATACTGTGGGTCGTGCCAGGATACACTGATTTTTAAAAATGTACTTTTTTTTTCTTTTTTTTTGTTTTTGTCTGTACAGGATAGGAAAGAAAAACTTATCCAGGAAGGAAAATTGGATCGAACATTTAACGTCTCATATTGAGTTTGGCAATGATGAGTGTGTATTCTTGCTTAAATAAATCTATTAATCATTAAATAGTTTCTCTTTCTTAATAGCACCTTGATTCAACAAACATTTTCTGGATGTTGTAGAATCCCTGCTTCTGAGAGCTCACAATTTAATGAAGAAGCAGATTGGTGGTCATTTATTCAATCAGTTATTCAACAAATGAGTGCTTACAGTGTGCCGGGTACCGTGCCATATGCATAGAGTACAGCAGTCACTAAGACAGACTTAGTCCCTGAGCTTAAGGAGTACATGTTCTGACAACGGTTTACTCAACAATTATTATTTACAAGCTGATTACAAGCCTGGTACTGTTTAATATCTCAGTCCTTCTCTGGCCCCAGCCCCAGTGGTAGATGCAGGAGAACAGTAACAGCAGTGTGGTATAGAACACAATACTAAGAATACAATACCAGTTGCCGTGGAGTCGATTCCTGCTAGTACTGGAGGTCAGATGTGGGCTAGGATCCTAGCTTTGGAGTTTAGCAGTTGGTAATAGCAGACCAGAGAGAGATGCTTACTACCTTACAGGGCGAGGAAGATTCAAATGAAATAATGAGGGTTGCTCGATTAATTAAAGCTACCTCCTTTGTAGTGCAGTCTTGAAGCAGTAGGTGACAGTCTGCTCCAGAGTGAAGTCACGGGCTGTAGAGGAACAGCCTGCTCTGTAAGGCTGATGGGCATTTGTATGTTGGTTTTAACTTTGAAAGCATGTTCACAACTATTCTCTCATTTGATTCCTTGTGGACGGGGTTACCCCCAGAAGCACAGCCTGAGAGAAAGGCTTGTGTGCAGGTTATGTTAGAAAGTGATCTGAAAGAATAACTGGGTGATGGGAAGAGTGAACCGGGGCAGGAGGGAAAGCCACCCAAGCGTGTGCTTTGATCTGGTCGCCTCAGAGTAATGGGCTCAATCCCACCAGGTACTTTCTAAGGAGTCCTGTAGAAGGACAAGAGAATTCTCCCTCCATCTGCTGCCTCCTCGCCCTGTTGGTCAAAAATTGTCCCATGCGATTGCCTTGCACTTCCAGGTATGGGCATGCCTCAGAATGGCTGACTGGGTTCCTACAGGCATCCCGCATGGAGTTGGAAGGAAGCTTAGGGCAGATAATAGCAAGGGATGTGCTGTGCAGCTGAGGTGAAGTGCTGTCAGATTACACCTGCATCAGCTCATGGCCACAGCAACAACTGGAGTAAAGAAGGTGGGCCAAGAGAGGGATTCCCAATTCCTCATCCACCCCTTGCACCACTTAGACCTGCTTGTGCACACATTGTCAGTCTCTTACATGACCTTCATGGTGGTGGCCAGCCACAATGTCTACACAAGACTCAGTGTAGGAGGGTTAGTGGAACAAGCTTTCGTCCACACTGGGCAACTGGTCATCATCTCCATTATGTTTTCTAGATTTCTATCGCTTCAGCAGATCTAGATTGCTTGCCCAGGGGAGTCGTCACGCCTTCACTTCCAAAGGCCAGAATTGCAGACTCTCGCGTCGTCAGGCCTTTGTTGCAGCAGTTGCCTGTTCGCAGTTATTACCAGACACGGAAGCACCAAGATGCTCCAGTGAATCCCCTGGGTTCCAGACACACTCTTTACCCCCACTGTGTAGGAGCAACTGTAGCTCCTTATATAATCAGGGTCAGTTGCTGCTGCCAGCGTGGGAACATTTTTGTCTACTGTTCCCCAGGCACCAGAACCGCAGAATGACCAGGAGGTGGGCATAGCTTCAGGTGGAATCTTTACTGTGTTTCTTTGTGAAAGTGTTTTCCCCACCCCCCATCATGGGAATCGGCTTGCCTCTAGTCCAGCAGAGCTGAAATTTGTAAAGAAGGGAAGCACCACAAGCGAGTCACTGGGATGGTGAAAGGGGCCAATCCTACCTCCTCTTTGTTCTCAGACTAATGAATTCTAGGTACCGGGGCATAGTAGATATGACCATTGGTTCATTGCATATACCACACAGTCAACCCTGTGCTTCAGCCCTTCAGGATGTCTTCAAACCGGTATCTTAGTACAGAACAGTAGTAGTAGTGTCAGAAACTGTCTAAATTCATGAGAGGGAGGACAGAGAATCAGCATCAAGATCAGCCCAAAGCTGATTCCTGTGAGAGGGAGGTCAGCCATATCACCACCCTCCAACTTTTTAAACTATTCTGACACAAGTCCAGTGGCGACACTCTCTGCTCTGCTGGGTTTGATAATTTGTTGCAATAGAACAGAACTCACAGACCATTGTCAGGATTGTGGGGTTTATTAGGGAAGTATCAGGTTACAAATCAGGATCAGGATCAACTTGGAAGTAACAGGAACAACCAATGTGTTCTTAAAAGGAAACAATTTCAGAAGATTTTTATCAGTGGCCCAGGAACCAATTCTAGGTAGCTCATAGAGTTGCTGGGAGGATTGGTAATCTAGTTTGGGGCTTGCATCCAGGAGCAGTGCCCCAAATCACACTCCAGAAGTGGCCTGGTTAGGACACCATTGCTGCCTCCTCTGAGAACTAAACGCTGCCATCTGTCTAGCTGATGCCACTAGTCCTGGGCACTGGGCACAGGAGCCCACGCTACCTCGCTCAGCCTAAGTACTCAAGCTTTTTGCAACCACTGCCATCATAAAGAGTTCCTCAAGGTCTCCATAGCTTCCTATCACTTGCTCCTGAGTCCACGTGCGTAGGATTGGCTGAGCCTAGATCATGTGCCTGCGTTCTAGTTGCAATGGAGGCTAGAAAAGCAAACATGTGGCATGTTCAGATCTACAGAGAGAGGCAAGTAAGGACTCCCCAAAGATAGGAAAGGGGTCCAAATGCTGAGCATCCAAAAAAATGGCAAGTGTGCAACAAGGTAATACAAACAGTCCAACAAAACCAGATCATAGAGGGCAAGGAGAACGGAATAGATGTGAATGTCAGGAGAAGCAGAATAAAGGTGACCAGGGACCAGGTTATAAGGGCCTTATCAGCCACAGTTAAGGAGGTTAGAGTTCATGCTGATGGCAATGGGGAGCCATAAAAGGTATGTATTAAGCAGAAGTAACCTGATTGGATTTGTCTTCTTGGAAGGTCACTCTGGTTCCTGGGTGGAGGATGATCACAGGGGACAGAAGAGGCTGCAGACTCGAGTACCAGGCTTGTTGCAGAACTTCAGGCCAGAAATGATTTCAATTTTTGAGACAGCCCTCCATGCAGAACGAAGCAGCCTCTGCCAATCCCAGGATGACTCATTTGGTCGTGAACTTGTTGAAAGCTTTATGAAAGTTTAAATATATTATCTCTATTAGTTCCTCTTTGTGCACACGCATGAGGAGTCAATCTTCTTAATAATCTCTTATCCTTGCATGCTATCCTTGCCCCTTCTCTGGAACTATATTGCTTCCTAGCAGGCTGCTGTGTTTAAGTACTATGTCTTTTTACCCTTTATTATGGAGCCTACCTGGAGAGAAAAAAATTACGTTCTGGCTCTGAATGAAATCCCATTCGGTTCAGTCCCTGATTTACTTTCCTTTTTATGTTTTCTCTTTCCTGGTGGCACCTGACACAGTATTCTCATGACTTTGGGGAAGATACAAAATATTGTCTGTCTCTACATTCTTTATGATCATTACTGGGCTATCTGAAGAATCTGAAGAGTTTAGAGTTCAGTACAAAAAGCTGTGTCTATGAAATCTGCACGATTACAAAATACGGACAGTATTTTCAAATGACTAAAAATATAATTCTATAAATATATTCAAAACGTTTAGATTTTCAAAGCTTCCACTGCCACTTTCTACCTTTGAGTAAACAAATAGAATTTTATTGTGTTTTTATTTTTTCTTGCGTTTTCTTGAGGACCCATTTGTACCGATAACTAATACTTCCCATAGTCATCCCTCGGGATGCCTTGTTTACTGCCATTTGGCTGGCTGAGATAGACGCCATTCTGCTGGTACTCACTGTGGCCTGGAGAAACTCCGAGCTGTGTCATCCACCTGGAGACCCTTCCTCCTGAGTTACCAAGAAAGTGCAGTGTGCATTGATCTCATTGCCAAACTTCAGAATTTAACCCTTTCATGACCCAGTTATTTTCTGCTTTGAATTTTTTGTTGATCCCATGTACTTTCATGAATGGAAGCATGCTAAATCACTGAGTGTGTCTGAATTTTTGGTAGGTAGTATGGATATTTTTTCTTGTACCCTCCCATAAGCCTATCCTAAGTATTTAGTGATAACATATGAAGTACCACTAATTATATCCCAGAGCCCACTGAGATCTATTGGTACGTATGTGTAACAAATAAAACATCTCAAAATTTCTATGTTTCCTACCAAAACTTCAGACGCCTCATTTAATACCCTGTGAAAATAGTAATTTGTAGCGAACACCTGTTTCTTCCGTTTCAAACAGTCATAAAAGCCCCTGTCTTGTGGCAGTATGCACTGTCAGTGGTACAGCAGCTCCCCAATAAACCCCAGAGGCTGAAAAAGTTCATGGTCGCTGTATGTACTGCTGGGCATGAAAGAAAGCTCAATGTCTGACATCCAACCTTCGAGTGTCCCTGGGGATGGATGGTTGGAGGAACAGCTGAGATTTCTGGAGCAAACCTGGCACTTCTAATTAAGAGTTCAAGTTCACTTTTCCCCATAATCACAAGGAGTATCACCTTAAACATTTTGAGCAAATTCTTTACTTCTATCACCAATTGCATTCAAATCATTCATCTCTTATTGGTGATTAAGGTCTGGGAAAGTCTTGGGGGTGAGCGGAGGAGGCAACTGGCTGAGGTTGCACTAGAAATCTACATGGGAGGACTTAGGGGCTGTAAGTTGGTAGGAAAAGGCTGGGGTTGGGGGAGAAGGTTGGTAGGGGACTTCTCCTGAAACTACCTTTGCACGGTTATGCACATTTTTAAAACTTACATTATATGTTTCATATCAACTAAAAACACAGCGTTTCTAAAGAGAATTTTATTCACACTTTATAAAGATGGAGAAAGCATCGAAGAGTGTTATTGTTATTTTCTATAGGGTGGTTTGGGTGGGGAGTAGATGGAGATGGGGTGGTTAATTACCCTGAAGTCATCTATTAGAAACTGAGAAGCCAGCTTCCCCTCCAAAACCATGCTCGCAGAAGGGGTGGCCCAGAAGTGATCTGGTCTTTTCAGGGCATTTGGGAGGAGGTACCAGTGCATGCTGCACAGTGTGTGGGCAGTTGTTGGTACGCAGATACTGGGGATAGTTAGTTTCCTGGAGCCACTGGAGCAGAGGAGTCTGTGGGCTGTTGAATTCTTGTGAGACATTGGCCTGCGAGTCTTCTTGCCATGGATCAAACACTTATTGAGGCCCTGTTATTTGCCAGGATATAAATATGAAGAAGATACAGCTCCTTCTTGGAGGAACTCATAGGAGAGAAAGAAAACTATAGTGGCCAACACTTATTGAGCACTTACAGTGTTCCAGGCGCTAAGGGATTTACACACTCCCAACAACCCTTTCAGGTAGATCCCCATATGCTCATTATGTAGAGGAGATTTGTTGTTGTATGACGTAGAATTGATTTCAACTCACAGCAACCCTATAGGACAAAGAAAAGCTGCCCCATAGGGTTTCTAAGGCTGTAATCTTTACGGGAGCAGATCGCCAGGTCTTTTCTTCCAAGGAATTGCTGGTGAGTTCGAACCCCCAGCCTTTCAGTTAGCAGCCAAGCGCTTTTAACCACTGCACCACCAGGGCTCCCAGGTGAGATTTAAATGATTTGCCCAAGTACATAGAACTAACAAGGACTGAGGTAGGACTTAAAGATGAGCTGACCGATTCCAGAGGTCATGTCTTTAACTAGTCTTTGAAAGGGATAAGAACTGATGTTGTGGGGAGTCGGGTACTGAGAAAGGACACCTAATCCAGGCTGGAGGGTTTAAAAGATGGCGCCTTAGAGGGCAGGGACTCCCTCCCACTTGCGTTTTCAGATTTTCCAGCACATTCACAGACGTGTAGAATTTTAGAGCTGGAAGGATCTTTAAAGATCAGCTAGTCTCACAGCCTAATTCTATAGGTAAGTTTTGGGCGGAAGCCATGACTTGTTCAATTCCTCAAGAAACTCTGCTAATTCAAGGATTAGGACTCTAGGTTTTAATTACAAACTACTCTCTGATTGTCCATGCCACCTTCTCGTGATTAGAAGTGATATTGTCAGTTGCTAAAGACAACTGTCAGACAATCTTCTTAACTCATACCAAGAGAAGACTTGCAAAACCATTTTAATAGAGGCAGGTTGAGGGGATAAATCAGGCAGATGTTTGAAGCATTTTCTGTATAAGACAAGTATTATCAGACTGGTCTCTTCTGGGGGCTGTGAGAGTGGAGATATTAGATTTAAACCCATATTATTCTTGCTGAAATATCACAAGAAGGTCTCCATGGCAGGTACTCATTATTTCCTGCAAGTATCTACTCCCCGTTTTCTTTCCCTCTGATACAAAACCTAAAACCAAACCCGTCACCGTAGAGTCAATTCCAACTCATAGAGACCCTATAGGACAGAGTAGAACTGTCCTATAGGGTTTCCAAGAAGCGGCTGGTGGTTTTGAACTGCTG